ATAAAATCGTTCCAAGGTGAAAGTGTAAAAATGAGTATGTGTGNCCAAGGTGAAAGTGTAAAAGTGAGTGTATGTGTGTGTGTGTGTGTGTGTGTGTGTAACGTGTTATATATTTTTCGATCGGTCGATTGTGCAGTGGAAAAGATGTAACGGAGCTCGCTCACGACCTTCTTTCCGCTCGTAGATCAATGTCGCGATTCACGCTCGATTTAACTAACGCGATCGTTAACCACGAACGACAATATCTATCCTATCCCCGCCACTTTTTATTCCCTTTTCCCTCGCGTCAAACATTTCTCCATCATCCTCGCGAAAATCGAACCGTTACCGTCCTCCTCGATCGGACCGCCACGACTTTTAACTTCGCATCTAGATCGAAGATCATCATCTCTCCGAACGAATCGTTCAAAACATCGAGATATTTTCTTCATCCCATGGAATGGAGAAACTTCGCGTAACAAGAATTCAAAAATTATTTCTTAAATTTCAAAAGTCGATCTAGGTATCCAATCTACAAACCGAGATATTTTCACTCATAAGATAAGTGAAATCCATTTGTCCTAGATCTCTACGATTTCTAGGTCGAAAAAAATTGGCAACGATCAAAATTACTTTTACAAAATTGTTTTGATATACATTCTCGTAATCTCGAAATTCGAGTCGAAGAAAAATCAAAACAAACGAAACGTTACCACAAATCTAGGTATAAATAATCTGCAAAACCCTTGTTTAAAACCTTGCGAATATTTTTATTTAACACAGGGAAGGAAGGAGAGGGGTGAAAGGTTATCCACTTATCGTCGTTTCTACGATTTCGAGTTGCTTGTCTCTGATGTATCGGGACCGGTTGCACGCGTCTCCGGTTTTCTTCTTCACCAGGAACGTGACGCGAAAATTTATTTCGCCGGTTGACGCCCCCCGGGACAGGTCTCCTCGTTTCTCGACGCCCCGGTAAAAGCATTGTCCGCCTCATCGGTACCCTTATCGCGCCTCCTCGATCCTCCACGTTCACGAATTGGAACACGCCAACCTCGCGAGGAAAAGGTTTGATAAATGGCCGGGGATAAATAAAGGCAGTGGACGAACCTCCCTTGCGGTGGATCAACTTCTCTTGGCCGCGAAGATCGTTTATGAAGCTCGTTTGTCGAGCTCGGGAGGGTGTTTAATTCGATACGTGGCTTGAAACGTATCGTTTCGTTGGGACACGTGCAGGAATTTTTATTTTACTCGATCGGGGGAGAAGTCGAGAGAGAGAGAGATAGAATTCGATAAAGCTACGTTCAGTCGTCGAGACGCAACATAAAACGATCTTTCCTAATAAAGGAATAAAGGCGTTATTTTCACAATTAATACTTTCATCAATAAATATAAATCATATAAATCACTCGAGAAAATCATCGAGTCTTCTTCGGAAAGTAAATTTCACAATTTTCAATTTGCTCGCCTTAGAGGCAACGTGTATAATAACGAGTATCAAGCATGTATTTGCCGGCGTGCTAACTCAACCACGCCCTCTATCCGCGCCACCTTTAACACGTTCCCCTCCGTGTATGTGAACATTTGGTATCGACGGCACGTACGGTGCCTGTTTGACGAATCGAAATGAACGGCGCGAAATGTTCGTTCCCGGTACAACCCATTCCCATGAGCAGGTGTGGAAAACGGGCGAGCAAGGTTGTCTCGAAAGGTTGGTTCAAGGTTGGTTGGTCGGTCGGCTGGCCGTTCCAGGGAGCGAAACACCGGCAGTGGCGCCAACCTGGCGGCTCTCTCTGCTCCACGCTCTCCTCTTGCACCGTGGAAATCGCGAGAACACCTAAAAATATCGCATCATCCGTTTGATTTTTATCTGGAACAACTCGTATCGTGGTCTGTTTGTGGGCTCGTTTCCTCCATGGAACGCCATGTGAACATCTCTGCGGGAGTTTAGCATGCTCGTTTCGCGAGCTGTATATAAAGCGTATATATATCCACGTAGAGCGTGTATCTTTTTTCTCGTCTTCGTCAGATAGAGGTTCGAGAAGATGGAAGTGTTTTTAAAAAGTAGGAGGTAAATTTTACAAATTCGTTTTTCAAATTTATACTCTTCGCTTCGAGAATGGTTACGCTTTTGCGTGGGTATTAGCATTGTAATGCGGATGACGTAAATGTATGCGTCATGGATGGTTGAGAATGGTATGTGTATATGTGTATATTTAACTTTCCTTTTGCGTGTACAAGTGTTGTCATCGGTATAAACGGCCATCTTGGTTTTCATTCCAGTTTACTACTCGTCGTCGAGTATCAATATCTATCTAATATCGACATTGTATATATTGATTCTTAATGACTAGGGATTAATTAGTTTATATTTTAGTATAGAAAGGAATAAAAATGAAAATTCATTTCCATGAAAATCATTCAATTCCTCGATTCGATCGAGGACAAAAAAATTGTACACGAATGAAAGTGCAACGATTTTCTTATTTAACCCTTCTCTCGATTTAAATATATATATATATATATATATATATACGTAACAAAGAAATTAAAACTTTTCATCGTGTTCAAACGTTCCAAGTGTGTACACGGCTTAAACGGTGCCAGCGCGCGGCAAAACGTTGTTTATCGCAGTAACTGTACCGATAATCTCGTCGATTTTACACAGAGAGAGAAAGAGAGAGGGGCAAGAAACTTGAAAATGTCCGGCGATAATTAGCCGGTTTGTCTCGGATGTTTTTCCTCGACTAGGCTAAACGCACCGTTAGCAGCTACGATTTTTACGTTCCATCGTGGAAAATGTCGGTTGGAGCCTGTTGGAAAGTTCAGCGAAGAAACGAGACGGGGAGGGAAAAAAGTTCGATGGCGGCGTCTCTCGAAAGCATAAGTTGATAAGATTGAGCTCTTCGAAGCGTTCTAAGAAAACTATATCTTGTAGCTAGTCTTGTATTCCGCAATCGTGAATTAACCGGTCACTCTTCGTGGCCGACCGAGGATGAAATAAATGGCTCGTGTTGATCTCGGAGGATGTGCGAGAAGGAGAAAATCGAAATTTATACGCGTGGATCAGAAAATCATTGTTCGCAGAAAGATGGATGAAATTTAGAAAATTTTACTAAATTTCGTTACTCGAAGATTTCGAGAGAATTTAAAAAGTTTCAGAATATTTCTGGAAATTTGAAAAATTTTTAAAATCAGAAAGATGGAAACTCGGAAAATTTAAGAACTTTGTACCTCGAATCGTAGAAAAGTTTTTCGTTTAATCAAGTTCCTTCCCAAAATTCCACGAATGAAGATAACCACCGACACGGGAATCTACTTCACTTGTTTATCTTCTATTCGAAGTAGAACGAATCTCGCTGTTTTTTTCCTCGACATCGATACCATGCATTTTCCATCCTCGTCGAAAGTGTCGATCGATGGAATTCACATTGGATCACCTCGACGAGAAGATCGGAGGGTTGGCGATCGATAGGCTGGAACGCTCGAAGATAGGCAAAATCGCGTCGCGCGTTATCGGATCCAACGTTTTCCATCGTTTATTAATCCTGACTGCCGCAACTATCACGGTTGAAATATTCACCATTCACCTGGCTGCATTCTGAACCACTTGTATAAACGTTTGTGCGACGACGGAATTCATCGACTCCAAATTTAAAGTACGTTTGTAGCGCACGAATTTGTAATTACTTAATTTCAAACGGTTTGTTTTAATTCTTAAAACAAACGATCAAACTCAATTCGTCAAAATGACGAATTTCGTATTCCTTGTTTCACGATTATTGAAAACGTGAAAATGTTTTCGACGAAATTAAATTATTACAATTTATTGATACGGTAATTACATATACTTACTTTTGTGACATTATTTATAATTACAATCATTTATATGTAAAATAAGTGTTTAGATATTGAATAAAAAGTTTCGACGATGAGAAATTCTGAGATTCGTTTGAAAAAAAGAAATAATATTTCACGCCCTCTAAACGAATTTAAAATAATTGTATCATCACTCTTATCTTTTTTCAAATAATAAAAAAAAAACAATAATAATTGGAATACGAATAAGATTCATCTCGTAATCGTACAATTGTTTGTTTTGATATTGCAGCAAATTTTTCTCCATAGCTGATAATCGCTCAAAATTGAACGTTATTTTCCGCGCGTTTAACAATTTTACGATACGAATTTTCCGCTCGATGTCAATTATCCTTCGACTATTGAATTCGTAAATCCGTGTCGCGCCGTAAATTTTCGAAAAATCATCGTCCAGCTACATTCAACCCCTATAAATTCATCGAATAACATGATAGATCGATAGTCGTGGCAACGATCTGCTCTCTGCACGAGAACATTAATCAAACTCGTATTAATTTTACCTGATTCTGAATTTTTACAATGAATTACGAAATGTTTAATGTTTTAATTCTCAAAACGATTCTGACGGTCTCGAATTGCAGACAATTGTTCGCAAATATTAAATTAGTTAAATATGAAACATATATACCTTCAATATTATCTAGAATCTTATTGCAAGCAATTATGAGCGATCAGGATACTGAATTGTCTCAACATTTTATTATTTGCACGTGTGATTAAGAAATATTCTTCTAATTTTCCAAATCCTTTAAATGCAATTAAATACAATTACCTTAACTATTTTTCAAAAAAATAAACCAAAACTCATTTAGAGGGAATGTCTGATTCTGAAAAATACTTGTTTAATAAAAAAATGTGCCTCAAAAATGAGAGGAAACGAATTCGATACTAAACGATTACAATTAACACACACGCATTTACATTTCGTGCATCGAACCTGTCAATCCTGGCATCTCACGCCACCCCTTTCCCTTAACCCCCACTCCGAGTTTAACCGAGTTTAACTCGTCACGCTCGATCGGGCGTAAGCCGGTGGCTGTCGTCGAGGATAACTCTGCCTTCGTAACGTAACGACTTCGTTCCCCTTTCTCGAGCCGAAAATCATGGTGAAATCTCATCCTCACGTGTACGTGAACGTGTTCCAGGTCCGGCCGCTTGGACGAGGACGGGAAGGACGAGGAGCCACGTAGCCACGGTGGTTCCCTCGCCCGATCGGGGAAACGACGGATCTCACTCGCGGAAATCGGTGACGATGAGCTAGCGACACGACGATGAGGAGGATGAAGCAGCGAGCGCTGCTCGCCTGGCCATGGTTGTGGCTGTGGCTGCTCGCGGCCACAGCCGGTTCCCCGTCTTCCGACGCTTCCCCGTCGACCACTCTCTCGTCGTCGTCGTCGGCGGCGGCGGCGAGCACAGGCCCCGTGACGAGGTCGTTCTCGCCCACCATCCCCACGTCCACCTCCTCCGCCTCCTCCTCCTCCTCCTCCTCGTACGCGAGCGAGGGCACGAGCCAACAACAACAGCCCGACGACGAGTTCCGTTTCACCCTTCCGCTCTACAACGTGTCGATACCGGAGAACTCGATCGGCAAGACGTACGTGGTCCCTTACGTGGACGAGAGGATGGGCATAAAGCTGCCGTCACCGGACGCCAACCTCGACATCCGTTTCCGTATAATGAGCGGGGACCGCGACAGATTCTTCAAGGCCGAGGAGAGGACCGTCGGTGATTTCTGCTTCCTGTTGATTCGGACTCGTACGGGTAACGTGGACGTGTTGAACCGGGAGAGGAAGGATCATTACGTGCTCGAGGTGCGCGCCACGTTGAACAGGAACGACGGGAGGAATCTGGTTACGATACTCGAGGCGGACACCACCGTGGTTGTCACGATCTTGGACACGAACGACCTGAACCCCCTCTTCTACCCGACCGAGTACGAGGCCACCGTCACGGAGGACACGCCTATGCATCGAAGCATACTCAGGGTAATCGCCGAGGACGCCGATCTCGGCAGGAACGGGGAGATTTATTACAGCTTGGCCGAGGAAACGGATCAGTTCGCCGTTCACCCGGTCAGCGGGGTAATAACGCTCACCAGGCCTCTCAGGTAGGTTTTCTTGCGAGAGATATTGGAAGGTAATTTCGTTTTTTTCTCTTTCTTTTTTTTTTTTTTTCGTTTTCGGAACGTCAAACGTCGTTTCGTGCGGTCGAATTGTTGACGAAATTCAATCTCGGTCAATAATTTCTCGAGTCGTTATTCGCTTCAACCTTTTTCCGTCTTTCTTTGCCAAAATTGTCGAAACGAAATTTTCTTGTAAATAAATGCCACGAAATGCCAAATTCTCGAAATATAATAATAACGGTTTAGAATAAAATTGGCTGGACAAACATTCGACTTTATAAATAAATGCCAATTCTCAAAATATAATAACAACACGGTTTAGAATAAAATTGGCTGGACAAATATTCGATTTTTCTTATAAATAAATGCCATGAAATGCCAATTCTCAAAATATAATAATAACAACATAGTTTAGAGTAAAGTGGGCTGGACAAACATTCGACTTTTCTTATAAATAAATGCCATGAAATACCAATTCTCAAAATATAATAATAACGGTTTAAAATAAAATTGGCTGGACAAACATTCGACTTTATAAATAAATGCCAATTCTCAAAATATAATAACAACACGGTTTAGAATAAAATTGGCTGGACAAATATTCGATTTTTCTTATAAATAAATGCCAATTCTCAAAATATAATAATTCTCAAATATAATAATAACAACACGGTTTAGAATAAAATTGGCTGGAAAAATATTCGATTTTTCTTATAAATAACTGCCAATGAAATGCCAATTCTCAAAATATAATAATAACGGTTTAAAATAAAATTGGCTGGACAAATATTCGACTTGTCTTATAAATAAACCACGAAATGCCAATTCTCAAAATATAATAATAACAATACGATTTAAAATAAAATTAATTGAATAAACATTCGAATTTTCTTATAAATAAATGCCATGAAATATCAATTCTTAAAATATAATAATAACGGTTTAGAATAAAATTGGCTGGACAAATATTCGATTTTTCTTATAAATAACTGCCATGAAATGCCAATTCTCGAAATATAATAATAACAACATAGTTTAGAGTAAAGTGGGCTGGACAAACATTCGACTTTTCTTATAAATAAATGCCAATTCTCAAAATATAATAACACGGTTTAGAAAGTTGGCTGGACAAACATTTAACTTTTCTTACAAATAAACCATAAAATGCTCAAGATATAATAATAACGGTTTAGAAAGTTGGCTGGATAAAGATTCGACTTATATGAATAGCAACACTCGTGTGAAAAAACGAAATTACATTCCGAACAACCCGATAGAATTTCCTATCGATTCCTTTTAAATTTTCTTCCCAATTCGATTGGAACACGCGAAAAGTTCTCTCGTAATCCTCTCGATGAACCGTGTCCAGATACACGGAGCGAGCGATCCACGAACTGGTGGTGCTGGCAAAGGACCGGGGTGCCCTGTTCCGGGGCAGCAGCAGAGCTAGCACGGCGAAGGTGACGATCAAGGTGCGTCAGGTGAACCTTCACTCGCCCGAGATCTACGTGCACCACCTGCCCGACATCGTGGAGCACTCGAACGCGGACATCTACGCGATCGTGCGGGTGATGGACAACGACGAGGGGATGCACGGTCAGATCGCGAGCCTGGACATCGTGGGCGGCGACCCGGCCGGCCACTTCAGAGTGCGTCCAGCCGGCGGGCCGCACTCGGGGGAATACAACATCGAGGTGTTGCACCTGTTGGACAGGGAGACGGCGGTCCAGGGCTACAACTTGACGCTCCGCGCGACGGATCGGGGGGTGCCCCAACGCTTCAGCTACAAATTCGTCCCTGTCCACCTGGCCGATCTGAACGACAACGCCCCAGTGTTCAGCAGGGAGATATACGAGGTGAGGGTGGCCGAGACGGCGCCCGTCAACACGCCGGTGATCCAGCTGAAGGTGACGGACGCGGACGAGGGGAAGAACGCGCTTGTGTTCCTGGAGATCGTGGGCGGGAACGAGGGTGGCGAGTTCTACGTGAACGCCGAGACGGGGATGTTGTACACGGCCGTGAACCTGGACGCTGAGAAGAAGGCGTTCTACACGCTGACCGTGTCTGCGGTTGACCAGGGGAACGCGGGTACCAGGAAGCAATCCTCGGCCAAGGTGAAGATAAACGTGGTCGACACGAACGACAACGATCCTACGTTCGAGCAATCGGAGATGGAGGTGTGGATCGACGAGAACGAGCCGGCGGGCACGTCGGTCGTGAAGATAACCGCCAAGGATCGTGACTCGGGCGAGAACGCGTACATCTCGTACAGCATCGACAACATCCAGAAGGTGCCGTTCGAGATCGACCACTTCTCGGGCATAGTGAGGACGAAACAGGTGCTCGACTACGAGACCATGAAGCGGGAGTACTTGCTGCACGTGCGGGTGAGCGATTGGGGCATGCCGTTCAGACGGCAGGCCGAGATGCGGCTGCACGTGAGGGTGCGCGACGTGAACGACAACAGGCCCCAGTTCGAGAGGATCGACTGCACAGGCCACGTGCCGAGGTACGTGTCGATCGGGTCCGAGATCATCACCGTCTCGGCCATCGACTTCGACGCGGGCAACATCATCAGTTATCGCATAGTCTCCGGGAACGAGGACGGCTGCTTCGCCCTCGACTCGGCCAGCGGCGTGCTGTCCGTCGCCTGCGACCTGTCCGACGTCAAGGTCGCCGAGCGCGTGGTCAACGTGACCGCAACGGACGGCTCCCATTTCGCGGACGTGAACCCCGTCCACGTGCACCTGGTGAACGCGAAGAGGAACTTGGGCTCGCAGGGGAGGATACTGTCGGACCAGAGCGGGGCTTTCGAGTGCCGGGACACGGGTGTCGCCCGCCGTTTGACCGAGGCGATCGCCGCCGCCGAGAGGAACAACATGCCCTCGAAGGACGACGGGTACGCGCTCACGCCTAGCCGATACGGGGAGAACGTGCACGCCCCCGAGTTCGTCGATTTCCCAAGCGAGATAAAGGCGAACGAGTCGGTGGGGATAGGCACGACCCTGGTCAGGATCCGCGCCAGGGACAGGGACTTGGACTACAACGGGAAACTGGTGTTCTGCGTCTCGGCCGGGGACCGGGACTCCGTGTTCAAGATCGACCCCGACACGGGCGACCTGAACGTGATCGGCCACCTGGACAGGGAGCGGGAGAGCGAGTACTTCCTCAACATAAGCGTGTACGACTTGGGCAAGCCCCAGAAGTCAGCCTCGAGGATGCTCCCCGTCACGATCCTCGACGTGAACGACAACGCGCCGAGGTTCGACAAGTCTTTGGCGAGCTTTCGCGTCTCCGAGACCGCTTTGAACGGGACCAACGTGTGGCGGGCGAACGCTACCGACGCCGATCTCGGCGAGAACGCCCGGGTCACCTACTCCCTGGTGACCGAGACGAACGACTTCCGGGTGGATCCCGTCACGGGAGTGCTCACCGTTTTCGGCAGGTTGGACAGGGAGCGGCAGGAGGTGTACGAGCTGAGGATACGGGCGCAGGACAACGGGGGCAAGGGGGCGGACGCGCCCCCCTTGTACTCGGACGCTTTGGTCAGGGTGATGGTGGACGACGTGAACGACAACGCGCCTAGCTTCGCTCTGTCCAGTTACACGGTGAAGATTCGCGAGGACGTGCCCGTGTGGACGGTGGTCGCCGTCGTGGACGCCACGGACCCGGACGAGGGGGGCGGGGGCGACGTCGAGTACTTCCTGTCCGACGCCATGGAGAGCGAGGGCTACTTCAAGGTCGACAAGGTGTCCGGCACCATCAGGATCACCCAGAGCCTGGACTTCGAGGAACGGCAGATGCACACGTTGACGATAGTGGCGAGGGACAGGGGCGAGCCGCCCCTGTCCTCCGAGACCATGGTTATCATAGACGTGGTGGACGTGAACGAGAACGTTCATCCCCCGTTGTTCGACGACTTCGTCGTTTCCGCTAGCGTGTTCGAGAACCAAGCTGTAGGCACTCTGGTAACCACTGTCCGCGCCAGGGACGCCGATCCCCTCGGCGGGGACTCGAGGATCGGATACACCATACGTGGAGGGGACGGGATCGGGATTTTCTCCATCGACAACGAAGGTGAGCTCTTCCTTTCTCTTTTTTCTCTATTATATATACGAGAGTGTTAATCTTAATTTGGATTCGGATCAGTTGACGAGGAAATTGTGTATTGAAAATTAGAAAAGAAAGGAAACTTTCTAATGGATAAAACTAACGTGCGCATAAATAGTAGAAGAAAAAGGGGGAGGTCGGTTCAATTGTATTCCTCGCAGAGAATATTGTACGAAAGGGTGGAACACCGGGGTTATGTGCCGCTTATGAATAGTATCGAGTTTAATTGAGTACGGTTAATTTATGGGTTTACGGAGAAAGAAGCCTGTTGCTGAAAGCTGTCCGCTCCCTGTCCACCAACAATTTCGCGATACCGATAAATTTCCATTATTGCAAGGGATTAAAGGTAATCGGATGAAAAAGTTAAATATTGTCGCTCCATGCCGCTGCTCGTCGTTAATATTCTTCCATCCGTTTTATTCTCGCGTTTGCCTTCACCCATCCCCCGTGTTAGACTCGATTTGCGCGTGTTTGCAACTTTTCTTTTTTTTTTTTTTAGGGTGAAGTAAACGACTGTGAAAATAACAATGAATCCGAATTATTTTTATCGAATTAATTAATTTCTTCCTTATAACGAATCGTTCTAATTATTTTCATCAATTGACTTGGCCGAGTAGTAACAGCTAAGCTCTTTTAATAAAACTAACGATTTCGTTGAAAGAACAATCTTTTGATAAAAAGATAAAAATTCTCAATTTCGTTTAATGGAAAGAGGAAGGCAAGACGTAAGGAATGCCTCGTTTTTGAAAAGCGCGCCTTTTCCATCCAGATGTCGGATCTGTCGTTTGCATATTAATCTTTTTTTTTAATCTTGGCGTCAATGGCTAAAAATTAAATTCGTTTCTTCCCGACTTTGAGACTCCTCTTTTTTTTTTTTTTTTTTCCCCTCTCTCCTCTGTCTTCTCTACCGGAAATGGTCGATAGCTCGGCTCGGTTCGAACACTTGCATGAAAATGTAACTCGAGTTCCCGCGCGCTTTTAGACACCAACTTTTGTATAATGCGTTGAATTCGGTTAGAAAGTTCTCGAAAGTTTCCCTCGGTTCTGATTTTGACAGTTTCACGGTTGTGCAGAGTTTGTGAGAATACCGGTTCGGGAAAAGAAACTTGTAATGGTGTTTCTTTGTGCTTGTTGGACCGTGCTAGTATAAATGCTAAGTCCCTTGTTCGAGGATATTTTCTCTTGCCGCTGTGTATATATATAAGGTTTGTAATGCAGCTGCAGATGTTTGGTATCAAATTTTTTTCCCCTTTCGAGATTTCTTTGAAAATTTTTCAATTAAAATGTAAAATACGGGCTTATTTTTTTTATTCAGAAGTAGAGAATAGAGAATCCACATTCTCTCGAGTGCGAATAGACGAGTATCTTTATCGTGCAATACGAAAAAAGGTAATCGATTACGTAATAAGGAACGCGATTAATTTCATGCGAAATAATTCGTATAATAAAAATTCATTTTCGCGACTAACTGGTATAGTTAAATCATAGCCTGAGTGATAATAAAAAAGAGGGAAAGAAAGATTGATCGAAAATTAAAGTAAAAATCGTTTAAATTCTCTCGAAGACTATCGACGACTCGACGATACTAAGAAAAAATAAGGAAAACAAGATTCGCGTAAATTAACCAACCACATCGATACTCCCCTCGATACTCGACATTTCAATCACTGACGGAGAAAAGAACAAATACGGCTAATTCAACAGGTCAATCGGTGGTTAACCTCCCACTGTCTCCCTTCCCCCCTAAAAAATCGGTCCGAAACGAGACCCTGTCTTCTTCTCGAAACGACCTCGCCATTTCCTGCTCGACTTTGGTTGAAAGTAGCGTCGAGCCCCTAAAAACGATACTTTAAAATCAGGGTCCAAGGGCCGTGACAACGGCACCAATTTATTCCTCGGCGCTCGCCTTTTTTCCCTCCCCTCCTCCTCTCTTTGCTCGTTTCCCGCCCTCTGTGTCGCCGTCGATCGATCAAAAAAAAAAAAGAGGGAAACGAAAAACAAAGGCGGAAAAAGAAAAATGAAGGAGCGAGATGAATGAAAAGAAAGGAGCGAGAGAGACAGAGAGAGATAGAGAGAGAATGGAAAGGGAAAAAGAAAGAAAGAAAGAAAGAAAAAAAAAAAAAAGTAAACGCGAGTTGTTCGCCGCTTTTTACATCCGACAGTGAAGCGTCGATGGTTCGTGGCACAGGTCCAAAACGAAGTTACATCGTCGCGGGCCATTAAATACCGACGCAGCGAGTTTAATTGAATTATGGGGGACTCGCGACGATTTCTTTTTTTTCCCCTCTTTTTTTTTTTTTTCTTTTTTTTTTTTTTTTTTTTTTTTTTTTTTCACCTCTTTTCATCCAAAGAGCAAGTCTTGACTGACGATGTATAATATTCGTAATAACGTNTTTTTTTTTTTTTTTTTTTATTATTATTGTGCTTTTTTTTTATTATTATTATTATTCTGCTCGTTTTGTCGGTTAGGTTTGAAAAAAAAGGGAAGAAGATGTTGTATGTATCGTTGGTTATTTTTTTCGCGTTTTTGCGGTTCTCTTGGTAATTGGCGAGGGGGAAGGTAGATGGAAATGGATAGATTTTAGATAAAGGAGAAACGAGATTTTTGTGTTATTCTTTCGAATTCTGTTTCGAACATTTCGATCTGTTAGGCCAGTAAATATTAAACAAGACGGTTTGTTCACCACGTTGGGTATACATTGGGGATAAACGTGACTAAAATTCGAGATATTATTCGAAAAATATATGATTACGCTTTATGTTATGCATTTTACCTTTAAAATAAGAAAGAAAAATATTGTAAATTCCGCTCTAAGACTCCTGGATACCCATTAACGATCTTTCTTAACTTTCCTCCTTAACAACGATAATTCAATTCTCGTTCAATTTCCATTCTAAATTCGAAAAAAAAATTAGAAATAATTTCGAAAACACTTCTCATAGACATTCTTTCAAAATCAACCTGTTTTTCCATTTTTCGATAAACGAGACCCGTAAAACACATTATACGCGTAACATTTATACAGAGACTGCGTACACCTATTCCCTTTTTCTTTTCTCTCCTCGGTCATGATCTATTTGCTAATGGTGGCCAGTTGGCGGTCAGATTGGCGGGGAACGATTGCACGGCTATAAATCGGGCGGCGTGACGTTTCGATTCCACTCGTACATTTCGCGCGATAAAATATACACAGTTTGGAAGTTGGGGAAAAATACAGTGGGCATCGTCCCGTGCTTTGGTCACGATCGACGAGTTTCCATCGTTCGATGGAATCTCTCTCTCTCTCTCTCTCTTCGAGTGCACCCCATGGCTCCCTTTGCGTGTAAGGTTGTACAAGGTGAGCTTGGTCGAATGATCCGTATAATAAAGTGGAACGGTGTTGATATTGGGGATGGGGAAAAGGGATGGAGAAAAGTTAAATATTCGACGTGTCCTGTGGCGAGTGATAAAATTAGTTTGAGCGAATGGAAAAGATTCTTTGATCTCTGGGGCTTAGATGTAACGTTGTAACTTTTCCAAACAAAAGCGTTTCAAATATTCGAACGCTGCCACTGTTTTTTTTATTTTTGAAAGGAAGGTGTATTTTTGTAATAGTAAAAGTTCGTTTGAAAGATTTTTCAATTTATGTATAAAATTATATTTGAGAAGGCATAGATTAGAAATACAAATTGAAATAAAATATTCTAAGATCTTTTTAAATTATTTTATAAATTCAATGTAAATTCAAACTATCTTAGACTCAACAAATAATCCGCACGTAATAATACTTTGTAATACAAAATTAATTATATTTTAAAGCGCAACAGTACAATTACAATTAAAACAAAATAGTCTCTTGAAAATCGTTCTTCGAAAATTGTTATAGAATTTAAAGTTCACTTTTTATGTGTGCTTTTATTATTGAATGTTGCCAGCAACATCACTATTTCATAGTTGGTATTTCTTTTTCTTCGATACACATACTTCAAATGTTTTGAAAACAGATACGCGCAATCACGTCATAATTAAACATATTCATTCAGCTAAACTCGTACACTTTTATTTGTTGTATTGCCTAGCCAACAAAAATTATTACCTTTGACTCGAAAAATGCCAATTTCGCCCAAGTTCGTTCACTCTGTGCACGTATGCAAGTCGGCTAAGTATTCACGCGGAGGTTTTGGGGGTTGTATCGATCCCCCGTCGAGCAAAAATAATACATTGTCAGTGGTATGCATATTCAACCTGAGTAAATATTCATAAGTCTCGTCGGTGTGTTGCCCTCGTGTTCGACCAGTATTGGTGCGCGACTGTTCCTCCTCGACTGGACGAATCTCGCAGCAGCAGCAGCTCGATTCTCTTCGAGAGGAATTTATTCGTATTGCGGTTCATTACAGTTGAAAATTGAGAATTGCACATCTTCCTTTCGAAAACGAAATTATCGCTCGCCCCATCGTGTTCGATTTTTCGAATCCGTTTTTTGGGAGAGGTATATACAGTATGAACTCGTTGTTCATTACTGAGCAAACGATATTTGGCGCGAGTGTTGAACTCAGAATCGAGAATTGATCGATGTTTTTCTGTATTTCGTTCCTTTCGTTTTAAATCAAAGTCGTTGGTTAACGTTGGTAAATGAAAAATAAAATTTTTACCAATAAAATAGAGTCTTATTCTTTGAATATTATAACGCGAGTATATATCACGTAACAAAAAAAAAAAGATCATTCCATCGTAGTAACAAGAATAGAAAATATATCCATATGGTCTTTGCTATATTAAGTGTACTCCAGTACTTGTATCGATATTTTAATAATGCGAGTCTGATCAATAGAAGTATTGATAATAGTAATTATATTGACAATAGTATTGGATAATAGTACTGATTTAATATATTTTGAATATTTTGAATAATTTGGATTGTAATTTGAATAATATGACTGTTGAATGTCCTTCGACTAGTCGTAACAAATGTAGTTCTTAGTTGTGA